TTGGTCCTGCCAGGATCTGTGCTCCGGACCTGCAGACCTGCATTCTCTGTTTGGTCTTTGCAAAGCGGTCACAGAGAGTCCACCACCGTCTGCTGCAGACAGCCTCCTCTGTTTGCAACATTTCTGAAATCTCCCTCCATGAATTTTTTGCCATGTGGCATCACTTGTGCTCTGCAGTAGAGAAGTCATACAGATGTTTGTACCTCCGAACCGCCTCGGTGAGTTTCTCTTTGAAACTATCCATGTTTACAAACAAAAACGCCCACAAACTTTGAACCAATCACACTCACCGAGCCTCAACCTCTGCGTCTCCGAGTGCTGACTGGGGCCAACGTACAGGACAGCTGTCACCGGGGGATCGCAGCGGGAGTGCAGACAGAAGTTGTGAAACTTTTTTCACTCAGCGGGGGGTAAAAGACGTGCGACAAGAAGTATAAACCAGCCTTCAAACCTCTCCACCACGATAAGGCGACAGCCCAGGGAGAATATATAAGATATTTATATTAAAGTAACTTAACCCTGACGGGGACTTTATCGCCTAAAGCTCCTGTGTTTTAAGGGGTTTGGAATGTTAAAAAGTGTAATTCTGAAGTACATGGTCTGCTCAAAAAGTATCAGTGGACTCTCCAATTGGTCAGTCTCAACGTCAACCTACCACTACCCCTCCTTCACCCTTCATCTTCCAGCTTCCAATGGCTTCCCCCTCCTACGACCACCACCACCAGTGTCTGGGCCCCGGGGGACGCAAAACTCTTCTTACACCTCATTTTAAGCAGCTCATCTGAGCTTACAGCATCTCACAAAGCTCACATCCTCTCCTAGGGTCTGAGCCCCAAACTCTGTCATTCATGTCAATAAACCTCCTAATTTCAGTCTGTCTTCATGTGAGTCTTTCAGGTTGAAGTATCGTTTCAAACTGTCCCCTGAATGTGATTCTGTTATAATGTTCAGAAAAGTCAAAATAAGGTATGGAAAAATGGTTTAGGTGTGCAATACAAAATACAACAAAAATTAGTAAACACACCAGTGTGTGTGATGATGGACTTAAGATGTGACCTTTGCAGAGAATATTATAACATTTGTTTCCACAGTCTGTGAGTGGATGCAGGCTACAGGAGATGCAGTCAGAAGATTCATGATGTCCTACCACAGTTTTCCTGTCCTCACTAGTTAAATCCTTGTTTACAGTTCATACCCGACATGTAAGCTTTGTGTACATGCTCCAGGTATTGTTTCCTGTTTCTGCAGTATTTCTTTGGCAGCGTCACTGTGCCTCCTACAGGCCTTGCTTAGTTACTACAGCATTCTGGGTCATTTTCTGGGCTTTTATGAGGATGAAACATTTCAGGAAACGCTGCTTTGTTTACAAGGATATTGTCAGAAACAACAATAAAAAAGTCATTTTGGTAAAAGCAATATTAATGTGTTGGGAAGACTTAAATGTAAACAATGGTTGGGCAGTGGTCTCTGTAATGATCTCTCTCAGTAGAGTAGCRTCAACACACAGAAAAATTACCAAACAGAACTGGGGTCTCTAAGTGTGTTTGGGATAAGTACATGAAAATAAAAAGGGTTTGGTCAAAGTAAAACTGTCAAAAACAAAATGGAATATCTCCACATTACCCTCCACTGGTTAACAAAGAGAACTGAACAAATGACAACAAGTTTCTTCAGGTGGATGTTTGAGCAGAAGAATAAGTCAGATGGACCAATGTGATGTCTACCTTCTGTGCTGAGGCCAGGACTGGAAGTGAACTGGGCCACATCCACTATTTTGACAGCAAACTGCTGCCCCGTCTCTCTGTTGATGCATCTCCTCACGACGCTGAAGGGACCCCTGAAACACAGAACCAAACAAAAGAGACCTTTAGCACATGGTTCGCACAAGACCCCTGTAGAAACGTTTTATTTAAAAGGAACTGACTCTTCACAAAAAACATCTGTAACCAATAAAGTCACATTGTGAAAAAACAGGTTTTCACTGCAACGCTGGAAACACAAAAAGGAAAAAAAWCACTAAAGCTTCAGAACTGAAGAAGCTTAAAAGCTTCAGACATCACAGAGCAGTCCTAACTGGGCCAACACAATCATTAATATAAATATTCTGGTGACAGCTTAATAAGGGAAAAAATACAAAAAATAAAGATACACAATGAAAAGTATATTTTACAGTTTAAAAAGTTTAAATTATTATGCTTTTTGATTTTACTTTNGGGGGAACCGTCTGACGGGGGAACGTGGCTCGACCTAACACCGGTCTCTGTTTAATGGTGGATGAAATAAAGAAAGTGGYGGTACTTTATTTACTTTGAGCAAGCGAACGTCATGTTCAGAAGATAATTAATCCASCAGATAATYCAGAGGYGGTCTGTTCGKTAAATTTTACTCCAGGAGCTGYGAGGCTTGTTTTCAAGCTTCAGACTGAACTGAAGCACCGGCTGCTGACGTCATTACGCTCTTGTGCGATGCTGCGTTCAGGACAAGCATGGAAAACTCACCACTCTTATGTCAATATGGTCACAATGATGCTTTTAGGTACCGAAATGGAATTGCATGAACATTCACATGGTGGTTATGTAATACAGCGAATCGATAATAAAAAAATCTCAACTAATTTCAACTAATCGGWGCAGCCCTAAAGCAGAGCAGGGTTGAAGTGTTTGCAGGTAAACTGGTCAGTCCTGAGTGAGCTGATCCCTCCTCTCACACTTTGCTCCTGAGCTACCTGAGACTTTGGCCTCTCAAATCGAATTGTTTTTAAATGTTTGTGTTCTGAGCATCGTTATCAAAGAGATATTTCCAACTTTGCACACATGACCAATCTCCTCTCTCCTCGTGAAAACCGCTGCCACAACAGCGCTTCACGGCATGTGCAGGCTTTGAGTGTTTCTGTAAGATTCACTGTTTCAGTTATTTAAAATAAACAGTATTAACTCTAAAAAACGAACATTTGTTTGCCTCATTTTAAACCTAACATAAGTCTGTTTAACGTCAACCCCAAAAARCTCAAACTTGCCATGTTCTTTAGGTGAGCACGTTTCAAATGTTTTTCTAGTTTATCATGAATATCCACAACTTTCATTCTTCACAGTTTTATAGGAACAACAGGGTTTTTTTTTATGTGCTAGGCTTGTTGTTATTTAGAACCACACTGGGACTGAACTGTGATGGCTCCTCCCTTTTGAATCTTGWCCTGTGGAAGAGGTGGRTRCTATTAATGTTTCATCAGTAAACATCCAGTTAATTTAAACTTTTTTTATTGTCACTCTAATGTGTAAATATTCACCCTGTAATATAAATATTTGGGTGAATTTATGACTGTAAAGTAACCGGGACTGATTTTAGTCTTGTTTTATTCTTTATGTAGGACTTGGAGCGGGCAGATTATAACGTGGTTGCTTTTCTGTTTATTGTTCTCGTCAGAATAAATGGGGAAACACCTCCAAAGATGACCAGTGTCATGGCAAATTAATTCCTCATAACCAGCACAACGCAGAAAAGATCGGGTTACATGAACACACAGTTGATAGAAAGTTAGCTTCAGGAGCAAAGTGTGGGAGGAGGAGAGCTCTGCTCACTCAGGACTGACTGCTGCTTTAACTCGCAGTTTGTCGCTGCTGCACCTGGCCTCACTGAGAGACCCGCCCTGCTCTGCTCTGATTGGATGACAGGGCTCTGGGGTTTGTATGATTTGTTGAAAGCGGTGTCTGTTCAATCCTATATGAGGCACYAGACTCTCCGGCACATTTTCCAGCAGACTGAAGGCTGAGGTTTATCAGACCTTCAATATTCAAACCACTTCTACACCTTTGAATTATGGTAGTCGTTCCTTTTTTCAACCATTTTTTCTGCTTCTTTTTCAAYTGTGAACATTTGTTCACTCAGCGCTGTTGTTCTTATTTTAGCGCTGATATCCACACTGTGTTGTAGTTAGCATTGCTAGCAGTAGCATAGTGTGAACAGAAAGGAAACACTGAGCCTGTGGTTTACGTCATCACACTTTTATTTATCTAGGAATAAACATCAATGTTTTTTTTTAATCATGAATGTTTTATTTAATTTAAAATTCAACATAGGCTCAAGTTTTCAAGATTTTTCTCCCTAAGTTTTGCTCATTCAACATATTTATCTGGTAGGTTTCGCCTGGTGCAGAAAACGGGACAAGCTTGCACTGCTCTGGCATTCAGCCTCCGCAGAACCACAGAGTTTCTTGTTGCTTTGGCGGACWACACTATCAAATGTTTTGACAAAGGTAGGATGGAAACGTTCAATTTTTACTTTCTACAGGTTTTGTTGTAAGATAAAACCATTATTATTACACTACAGTTAAAGTTTTAGCCTAAAATTCTTTGTGTCAAAACCAGTTAGCATTTAGCATATTTATTAAAAAAATTCTGTTTAATGAAAAGTGTTGAAATTTAGCATTTTAGTAACAGGCTAAAGAGACACATTTAACTTTGTCTTCTGCTAAAGGCACAGTGATCATGTTTTTTCTTGTGCGTCTGTGAGTAGGGTAGGTCTGTCTGTGGCATTAGAAAAATACTAATRGATGGGTTTTAGTGTGACTTTCAGAAAGTAGAGATGGGCGGATTAAACGTTGCAATGCTATATAGCAGGGAGGAGGTGCTAATCATTTCACGTGTCTTTAAAATAATTGAAGTTGTGTAAAAGATTTTAATCAGCCACCTCACTTCTGTTGTTTCATTGTAACAATGAAGCCTTGAATGTCATCAGTCACATGATCACAAAGATGTTKAAACAAGCCCAGATACAGTGCTTAGAACTGGTCTGCTTCAGAAAAGTGGACAGGCTTTATAGTAGGGGTGTAAGAAAATATCGATACACTGAAATATCGCGATATTTCA